CTCACTCACTCACTCACTCTCACACACTCACTCACTCACTCTCACTCACTCTCTCACTCACTCACTCACTCACACACACACACACACACACTCTCACACACACACACACACACACACTCTCTCACACACACACACACACACTCACACTCACACACACATATATATATATGTATGTGTGTGTGTTAACGAGGACAAGAGTGAAATATTTCAGTTTCATATTTCAGACTGTTCTGTGTTGAGTAAATAAATAATAAAAACAGGAAAGTGCTGAAAGTCAACATTTACTGAAAAACAATTTCCTTCTTAAATAAACAAATGAATACAAACATACATAAATAGTTAATAAAAATAGAAAAGTGCTGAAGGTCAATATTTACTTAAGTAGAACCGTCTCCTTTACTATAATAATAATAATAATAATAATTAATCAAATTATTAGTCAATATTTACTTAAGTTGAACCATTTCATTCTTGACAATAATAATAATAATAATAAATAAAATGGAAAAAAGTTAATAAAAACAGGAAAGTGCCAACGATTGTCAATATTTACCGAAGTATAAGCATTTAATTCCTTTCAAAATAAATAAATGAATACTTAATAAAAATAGGGAAGTGCTGAAGATCAGCATAGAAATATATGAGATGCATCATGATAATGCACATTTTTATTTTTTACATTTTATCTTTTCATGCTGTTATGTTATGCATTAGAATAGAATTTGTATCTTGCTAAGCATTTCATTATAGGTTGATTATTAAATCAAAATATTTTTGATTACATGTTTGGATGTTTGTAATATTGTCTGTGCAAAGGCACTTATATAATGCATATAATGTAAACATCAAATATACAAGTTTATATATTTTCCCACCAGTTAAGTAAAGCACGATTCACCAGAAAAACAGTCAACACATACATTTATTAAATATTATAATACAGATTATATCATATGCAGCACGCAGTTCTGACAATTTACTATGTAGTTTCACAGAGAACAATAAAAATATATAGGTTTCCAATACAGTTTCAACAAATCATTTGTGTCTGTCGTTGTCTGTAGTTTGTGTCACTGAGGCTCTGAGCCGAATACATCGATCAGAAGAAGTTTTTACAATTCACACGTCCAACATTTGTAGATATTGTTATATTGTGAGCTACGTACAGTGCCATTCAGTGTAAGCTAAT